TTATTTCGTTAGCATCTCAGCTTCGTGAAATAATGAGTCTTTGTTTCCTATTTCTTACTTGATATATATTACAACTCCTGCGCCCTAAAAATATATATATTTTTAAAAATATATCCTTTGTTTATTGGTTATCGATTTATAAAGATACAATTTTTGGTAAGCTCCACACTGAAGAATTACTAAGAAAAAATGGTTTTAATTTTTTGTTTAAATTATTTTGATTATAAATTATGTTGTTTTCTTTGTGATGTTCGTGTAAGAATTTTTCTTACAGAATTCTTTCAGAAATAGGTTAAATTATTCCTCAAGGTTAGATTTAACTTGGAAAAATCTTTTAACCGATATTTACCATATTATGGTTGTAGTTAAGTGTATAAATATATAAAAAATGTCAAGGTTATGTTTTAAAAAATATCTCAAACATTGTAATTTTCTAAACCACGGAAAAATTACTTTTCTAAATATAACGAAACTTTGTCGGTTTTTTATTATTTTATTATATATTTTTTCAACTGATAAATATCCAATTGCGTTTCAAAAAACATATATTAACATTATTTAAAATTTTGTTCTTTTGCAATTACTTATGTTCATTTATTAGGTTTAACATCCTTTTATATATCACTCATTCTGGCAGTGTGAGAAGATCGAATTTTATCCCCTTTTCTTAAGAAAATAATCCATGCTGAAAAGGAAACTAAACATATTTTTCTAACAAAACTTTTCCGTGATTAAAAAAATTTAATTCAAGATCTTTTTGTCAACATTCTATTATTATTATTTATTTTCTCAATATTTGTCGAAGCTATTCCGAGAATAGTACTAGAGACAAATATTTCGTCATCCATTCATATTTTCAAACCATTCATAGCCGTGACGAAATGATGCAACACAACTGATGATTGTACTCTGGAAATTTTATTTCACAACTGAAATTAGAGGATGGGATTAGAAATAAGTACATTGACAAATGTAATAAGTGTTTTAAAAAATAAAATGCGATGTATAAGACTAATTAAATATCTATACATACGAGTACATACATAAAATTTAAAATTACATTAAATAAAACTAAAAATAATAGAGGTAAAAAAATACGGAAAGATGACGGAATTTCGGACATATTTGTTTTCAAGATTTTTATTTTATATATTTTCATATGATTCATTCTGTTTATAGATTTTTTTTTAAATACTATAATACGAAATGTAATAATAATAATTGTAACAAGGTCAATTATTACCTCCTTCCTTCACTGTACTCTCTCAAAATTTAAATATTTTTGATCAAACCTAAATTATTCCAATCTACATTAGGGTCGCTGTTTTAGTGTTGATTGTCCATTGCCACAACTCAAAACCTCCCCTCCAAATATCTTGAAACCAGAGACAGGGCTCCAATTTCGATAGATTTTTTTTTTTAGTCTATGCAAAAAAAAAAAAACATTTCTGGTTTTTGGTTGGATTGACTTAATTTAATCGATAAAATGAGTTAATATTATTTGACAGTATTATTGATTTCGAAATATATTTTAAATATTTTTCACTTTAATTGAAGGGTAGTGATAGTTAAAAGAAAGTGCAGCCAGCTTAAACTTCTCACTCCTGGCAAAAATCCTTGTTCTGGCTCTGTGTGAAACTTTCACTAAAAAAAAAAAAATTAAAAAAAAATAATATTTTAAGGTCTTCTGGGCTGTATAGATAGAATCCCATCGAAAATAGAATTTTGTTTTTTCATTGGTATATATTTGTTTCTGAGACTGATCTAAGTTAAATACTTGAACAATCACAATATTTGATTTTTTAAATTATTATGCATACAGCTACTAAATGTAAACATGTGTCAAGAATAAAAATAAAAAATTTATTTTTACTAGAATTATCGATCCTATAACTAGATTTTTTTTTAAAACAGTAATTCATTTGGAAAAAAAGAAAGAAACTACCTATGTGAAATTATGTTTCAGGAGTCCTTGAAGGCCTGCTAAGAAAAAAAACAACTAAGGTGTGTGCTTTAGACCCCACGATAAAAGTGAAAACAAAACAACAAGGCGAGATTAATAATATAAAATATAAATTATAAATAATAGCTCATTATAAAGAGGATGAAATGCTGAGTATTTCCCTCACTGACAGTGTGCAGGTACGATTTTTAGTTCTCTTTAGTTCATTATCATTTAGTTTTCGACACTATTTTTTCCTTTTCTGCTCTCTAACAGTGTAGTGTTAAGATACAATTTTGAATAATACCCCATTTCAAAAAGGATGAGATTTAGAACAATTCCCTCGCTTACAGTATGCAGGTCTAATTTTTAGTTTCTGGATCTGAAATCTGATGGATCAATCTAATTCACTCTCCACAAAAAAGTGAAAAACGCCTAAAGAAGTTTTCACTTCGAAAAATTAAATCCTGGATCTACTATTGATAGCAAGTTCCTTTTAAAGAAAATATATATATTTTTAAAAATTGATCAACCCTTTTGAAAATAAAATTAATTATTTATATAAGAAACAAAAAAAATTTTCTATATTTTGGGTGGAGGGTAGAGGAGGATTCTAAACGAAAATGGAAAAATATCTGTATATTTTTAATTGGTCCATATTTGTTCCTGTGAGTGATCTGAGGTAAATAAACAATCAAAATATACATTCTTTTTAAATTATAATATATGTATTTCAGCTACTAAATGTAAGTATGCATAAAAAAATATATAAATAAATTATTTTTAAAAGCATCATCGTTCCTGTAAACACACTGTTTTTTTTGTTGTTTTTTTTTAAACAAGCCTTCAAGTACCATGTACATTTTATTTTATATATTTTCCTTTCAGAGTTATTAAAATAAAATAAAATTTAAAAAATCTCCTCAAAATTTAATATCCTGGATCCACTACTGATAGGAGATACCGTTTCTTCTGATCGTGTTGTGTGTATACCACTGAATTTTTCTTTTTATGTAAATACATTTTTTTTTGTCATTCAAAAGTTTACTCCACATCAAGATATACTAATACAGATATGTTTCATTTGCGCAAGTATAGTCTTATTATTTCCTAGATCTCAGCACAAACCTTTTTTCAAGGTCACATTGACATAAAAAACTTTCATGAAAAATGTATCATTACTGGTTTTTATTTACTTACATATTCATATGTTATTGTTTGTGTTTAGTTATATCTGAACCTTTTTCAATTGAAACTTCAGAAAATTAGTTTTAATTATATAAAATCGATAGTAGTAAAGTATAGCTGGATACATTGAAGAAAGTTTGCATTGAAGCTTAACATTTCAGATATTTTACTTACTGTAGACAAATTGTTGATGTAATTCACCCATAACTGGAAATTTTTGTTCTACACTAAGAACCAGTTCCTCAGCTGTTCAATACTGAATTCATCGAGCCTACTTTCATTGTTCTGGAGATTTTTTTTTGTTATTGAAGACAAAGGAGTTTGTTCAGGTTGAAGTTATGTAATTTTCTTTATGTCATAATTAGCAGATTATTGTAATTGTTGTTGTTTTAGAGAAAATTTGTAAAATAGAACCACATTGATAACAATCAAACTTTTATATACTTACCAGTTTTTGTAAAATTATTCCAATAAATGACTAAATATAGTAGGGATAGGGAGGGGGTATCCATATTGGTTTCAATATTATAATATCTGTATTCATATTGGTTTCAATAAGTATTCATTGAATTGGTTGGTTAAGCTCATGGAAATGGATGAATTTAGATATCATAAAATATGTTTCGAAAAGCTAAGAAATAAATGTTACTTAGCTAATCCTGCTCTATCGAAATATAACAGGTGTTCTCAGCTAAAAGTATTGTTAGATACTATTGGAATAGGCAATCTAGTTTATGAAACAAACTCAGCCACAATTAGAACAAATATTAACAGGATATTAAACAAATATAAACAATATTTGCATGACATGGCTGGATAACATTGCATAGCTCATCTTATAGTAAACATTTAAACCTTTTCTTAATAATGATCAGATTTCCCCATATTAGTTGATGCCAACTAATTTCAAATATACCAAACTATTAACGCAGATCCGCCTCAAGATCATGATTTCTGTTAATAATAAAATTGTGAAAATTACTCCACAACTTGAGTGCAAAATGTGCAACACTAAAGAAAATAAAACACTTCATAATATATTATTTAAATGTCCAATTTACAGTAGTTTAAGGTTATGAATTTACCAGGGTATGGGAAATCTTGATGGGATAGAAATATTTAAGCCAATCACTGCAGATGATATGAGAAAATTATATTTTTTCATCTCAATTATATCAAATTATAGAAAATTGGTAGCGTAATATGAAATATTGTCCTCTGCATATTATGGCAAAAATTCCATAATCTGTACCGGTCTTTTTTCTTGGTTGTGTTCTTAGGCATGGAGGTAATCTTTTAATTTAATTTTAAAATATAGTTTAATACTAATATTTAAAAAAAAATGTTTATTTATTGTTTTATGTGTATGTATTTATGTATATTGTTGACAATTTTAGATTTTATATTAATTTGATCATTGGAACTATGTTAATTGTCTGATTTTTACCGAATATGATTTTTAATTTATCCTTAAGAGTGTTGTAATATCTGTAATGTAGTATAAAAAGGAATGGATTTGTATTTCCATAAGGATAATAATGTTTGTTATTTTGTGATAGACTCGATTTGTTTAGAGTTCTTCCCTTAAAACAAATAAAGATTGAATTGATAATAAATATAGTAGGAATGAAAAATCGGAACTTTTGTAATTTGGAATCTAGTTTTATTTTTTACTCGTTCCAATGAGAATGTTGAGTGAGATCTCTAGAAGTTTAAATTGAAATATGATTCTTATTTACTAGAAACAACTAACTAAACGAACTTCATTGCATCCTTCTACTGATTACTAAGTGTCCTAAGAAATTATTAAACAATATCTTGTGGCTTTAACATACTTTTAAAAAATCATGATATAAAAATAGTGATTTTGGATTTAATGAAGAAATAATAAATGATTGCAGGTATGGAAAAAAGTGATCTAGTAGATATTTTTTTTTTATTTAACCACAAAAACTTTTAATTGTGGTTTATTTTGACAATATTTAATTGTCATTCATAGATAAAACAAAAATTTTAAGTACAGCATGATAAACAACATTTTTTTTCCACAATTTTATTTTTATACCTGCACTGTTCAATACTTCTTAGGTATATTGAATAATTTAGTAAATTGATGAGGAGGATAAAAGTTGTTAAAAAAAAAAAATAATTGAAGAACAAATGGATGCACAAATGGAATTCTAGTTGGAAGCCGAACTGCAACATTGTCTTAAAACTTAATAATAATTTATTTAATAACTTAACAACTTAATAATTTATTTATAACTTAATAAAGATTTTTAATGTTTATGTTTTAACTTTGGGAATTACTTAGTAATTTTTATTTCTTTTTCTTTGTTACTATTTTTTGTTACCTTTTCAAGAGAATTTTTTTTATGCGGCTTATATTTTTTTATAGACAATATATATGCATATTTATTTTTATTAATGAGATATAGTATTTTGGTATGATATTTTTTTCTTTTTATATATTTATTATTCTCAAAAGACCTAGTCCCAGAGTCTTTTTTCCCCCATTTATCTATCTTTTATTTTTTTTTATTTTAATAATTATTTTATTGCTATTAGAGCATCAAATATAAATAAAAAGATTTATGAGAAATCCATATGGAATAAACTATTTAAAAAAAATAATTAAAATATTTTATTTTTTATTTAACTGATAATTTGTTGGAATGATTGACTAATCTTTCCACTTCAATTTGTTTATAATATTACTATTCTATTTGTTATTAAGTTATTATTATCTTAATGTCTGTCTGTAGAAATTACTAAAACAAAAAATCCAAAGAATGGTTCATTTAAAAAACAAGTTGAGGAGTGTAACGTAGCAATCTAGATTTTGCACCTTTACAGCGAAACAACTCCTCTCACATCACACATATGACATAATATACACATATATATTAACTATTCACTGATGGATGAGTATACGAAATAGATAATAAAAACAAATAAATAAAGAAGCAACAATGATATAGATTACAGAGGTAAATTAATATTACTAGGTAGTATGATTCATTTAACTTTATTTTTGTGGCCAAATTAACACTTCAGATCTCAAATAAGGTACATATTGATTGAAAAAAATACTTTTTATAGATACTGGGTAATTTACAAAATGAACAAAATGTTAACAATTATCCAAGGAACTTTTTAATTTGAAATACTTAATTAAATAATTTTAATTATGAATTCAAATTTATATAATGACATATCAAGAAAAATTCAAACACAATTCATTAAAAAAAATCAACACAATATAATTTATATATATAAAAAAAAGTTTTACTTCAAAATTGTTTATATTTTACGAACTTGAATTTCACAAAGCAATCAATGAATTCAAATAATAACATAAATAGTAGTTCATATTTTCAAAAAAGCAATTGCTGAAGTGATGTGATTTAATAATACATTATAATACTTCTTATGTAGTTAACAATAAATAAGAAATTACTAAATATTAAATTTTACTTAATACTGCCTTGATTCAAAACTGCAGTTTTTAAAAATTGTTTTATTTCAACAAAAAAATCAACTTAGCATTTCTTTTAAACCACATTCACATTAAAATTAAAAACAACACATCTTATGAATAGTAAACAATGATGGTTAAACTAACAGTAACTTAAACATTTTTTTTTTTAAATCAACTAAATAAAAATTGCTCATTTAATATCAATTTGGAGATTCATGATGAAAAACATAAAACAAATTTTGAAATCAAAATAAAATATAAACCATTCTTTTAACATTTAAAATGAAAACTAATCTTATGATATCCATTCCTAATGTTTGATCACATTCAGTGCATGTACATCTATCCTGTGAGTGGATGTCTCCATGCATACTCATTTCCTGGTAAGATGATAGTGTATCCACTATCGAATTTATAAATTTTCTAAAATGCTTCCTTAAATAAACGTTTGCTTAAAAACTCAATCTTTTCTCATTTAAAACAAGTAAAGAAGCCAAACTGAAGCAGATAAAATTGCAGTCACTGCTCCTCAGTATTCAGATTCATCCAATCTTTCTGAAATAAAAATCAATAAACAATTAGCAACAATGCATATGGAATCATGCTACTAATTTTAAATAAAATAATTTTATTTTGTGATTATTTAGGAATTTTTTAATTCATTTAAATGATGATTAAAATGTATGGTAGTATAATAAATGTATCATGTGTATATGTGTGTATTCTTAAGTATTTGGAATTGAATTAGAATCAATATGTTAAAAAAATGACTATTTATTTATTTTTTATTGAGCACTTTCATTTGGTAATGAAAAAACATACAAATATTATATTTTATTGCAATGGTTCACTCTAATAATATGATCAATTATTATTGTTTTCCTTTTTATCGCTATCATAGGCAATGTTATTATAGGATCTGGTAAACTAATGTTCTGATATATATTATAAATATAAATTATACTGTACTGTATAATTTAATATGAAATGTCTCTGTTGAAGAGGCCAATGTTATAATAAAATATTAGCACATCCCTTGTAAAAAGTTTTTATTTTAGCATATTTTAATATATAGAGGGAGTGGAGTAGCTCAGTGGTATACCGCTGGTCTTACAATGATCAAGGTCCCAGGTTCGAATCCCGGCTCATTCATCAGCAATGGGGTGACCCTGGGATCAGGAGACCTTCCTATGTGAGTACTGAACCCAACAATCCTTCATGGGTTGTAGTGCTACATTTTTTTTTTTTTAATGTATACTATACATTAAAAAAAAAACTGCCTATGCATTGTATAGGCAAATTTGTCATAGATTAATATTGAAATGTAATGGATTAAACTGTTTAATGAACTGATCTAAGAAGAGGCAGTCTAGACCACAAATGATTTTTAAAAAAGCTTATTTTGGTTTATATTTATAAATATTCTTATCAAAAACTAAAATAAGAAAGAATAGTATTTATTTATTCAAAAAGAAATTTATAATGATTCTTCCAATCAATAATGAAATTAGAGAAATATTTTTAAAATTTGTGATTATTTAATGTATAAAAAAATGTATCCATTGCTCAAATACTATTGTATCATGACAATATGTATATATATATATATATATATATATATATATATATATATATATATATATATATATATATATATATATATATATATATATATATTTAAATGTACAAAAAGATAAATGTAGATATTTCATTATTAGATTAAAATGCTCAAAATCAAAAACCATTAATGGCAACAATATAGATTTTTAAGGATTAAAATCTAATTAATATAAAATTTATTCTTTATAATTTTTTAGACTGAAAATTGTGGAAATGGTGTTATTTAACCATGATATGAACATATTAAAAAATATTTGTATTTTAACTAGTTTAATCATAGGTATTAATTTTTAAGGTAAACAAATATTAAATTGATTCCTATATTTTATAGAAAATAAAGAGATAAATTTTAGTAATTTAATACCATTTTAAACAATAAATTTTCCAAACTTCTTGACAAATTGAAAGTTAATCTTTTTATTGCTGTATGTTATTTCATTACTTTGTAAATATGTCACTTTCAAATTTATTTCTATCAATCCTCTAAGAAGATTAACAGCTTGTTTGTTATTATTTTCTAATAAGCAGAATATACATTGGGATATTATAAAAAAAAATTAATAAAAGCTCTCTAATTATAATAATTAATTAACTTCAATATTAAAAACTTTTAATATTTAATAACTAGAAAAGTGACAACATAACATTGATTTAACTGAATTGTCAAAGATCATGCAGCTTGCCAATTCCAATTTATTCTGGGTATTATCAACTTATGAATAATGATATACCAAGAGAAAATTTATTAAAAATGATTTAGTGAAACTGTATAAATATATTCAAAAAGTAAACGAAAAAAAGTTAGAAAAAATACATTTTAAAAACTTGAATAACCACACAAAAAAATGAATCTTGTTAAGAGCAGTCAACGTCACTTAATTGGGATAATCACTATGTTATCAATTTTTCTTTTTTCTTTTGGACCACCATGCATCCATATACAACATTTCTTATAAATAAAACACTTATTTGTAGAATGTTAAAAGATAAATAATAATTAACTGTTTCAAATAGAATATAAAAAACTTAAGTTAAAAATTTTGATTGATATATCTGAAAATTTTAGTAGCCCTGTGTAAAATCTAGTACTGAAATATATTTATACATGTAGAAAAAATTATAAATTAAAAAAATTTAATTATGAGAGAATTGTAAAGGAAACATAAAACTTTATTTTTAAGATTATTAAATAGATAAGCCCTACTAATAATTCTAAACATTTAACCATTTAATTTAAATTTAACTAGATCTTAATAATTCGGGATTTTTTAGCAAGCTAAAAGCTCAAGAAATTAGTAAAAAATGATAAGAAAATTATTACAAATCAATTATTGTGCAAGGTGGTCCGAGAAAACCTACAGAACCTCTGAAATATCGTTGATTTTCTTTTTAGAATTTTGATCTTACTACCCAAATAAGGAGAGAAAAATAAGACAAATAATTTAAATAATACAAATAAGAACCAAGAATACATATTTTTTTTCATGTGTTTTTGTTTTATTTAAGCAATCTTAGTTATATACTGCATAACTAGCATAAATCTTGATTAATTGTCTAAATAAAACTCCATTCATATTACATTGCAACAAAGAAAGTTTTTATAGAGAATCTATTTTATAGGGACCTCCTGCTTAATAAAAAAAAAAAAAAAAGATATCAGACCTTAGGTATCACAACTAAGCACAGTTGACTGAATACAAAAATTCAAAATAGAAAAAGTAAAAACTCAATAAAAATGCACTCTCACACAAGTTAGTTTTCAAAATCAGCTACTTTATGATTTTTTAGTTAATACATTTACTTAAAAGTTTTAATCAATATTTTAAAGCAAATCATAAATATAACACTTCAACCTAAAATTAGTTAAAGAAGAGATAGAATAAAGATATTTATTCTTAAAGTGCAGCGGTTAAACAATTTTTTTGTTTTTATAAAACAAAGGAATATTGATATACTTCATAGGACCAAGAAGCAAACTGCACCTTTTTGCTTAAAATAGCTCTGAATTTTGATTTTTATAATCCAGCACAATTTTTAATTTTCAAAGAACTATTCTGGTAATCAACAATTATATGTTGAATATAATTTGTCTTACTTTATTATTTTGTATTAACTTTTTATGGTTAATGTAATTTGATCAATGAGCTTAATGAGCATAGTAGTACATAAAATTGGATGCAATTTTATTAATTTGTTAATTAAATGTTAATTTGTTACTTATTTACAGTTTATGTTGTCACTTTTATGGGTGCTATCCATAAGATATCCATTACAATTAAATGTTTTTATTTATTTTTTTGTATAAAAATAATTATATATTTTGATTTTATATTTTATTTTCAATATTTTTTATTTAGGTAAATCTATTAGTTTATTATTTTCGTATTACATGCAACAGATTCACACTAATGGGAGGGAAAAATATATATATGTATAAAAAAATCTAACAACACTACCTTATACAAATTATATTAAAGAGCTGGATCAAGAAAAAAGGTGGAGTTTACTCAGTTCTGATGCCTATAAATATATTAGCAAGAAACAGAAGAAAGAAAGTATATATGTTAGCTTCATAAAGGGCATCACTACAACTCAATAGTACAACAAAGTACCTCCTATACTGACAGTGACTGTACAGACAAAGAATTGAAGACAAAACCTTCAGAAGTCATTCTATATTTTATGTTTCCTTTGGGATAGGAGATGAGAATGAAGGAATAGGTGTTGTAAGATGCTCCCGCACATTTTTGGAACTTGGAACTCGAGGACACCTAACTTTTACACCAGTTGGTTCTCCTTGTGCCTGTCTTTGGAGTATTTTGAAAGTCTTTGAAGGCACAATATCATAATCAGGTTCTGCTGAACTATCCACAGTTCCCCACGTACTGTAATAATCACAATAATCATAATAATTTCCTCCATACGACTCTGGGTCGAGTAATGAGCTATCAGTATAAGTTCCAGCATTTACTTTATTGTAGTTGTTTACTGGTGATAAGAAAAGATTACTCTCATCAGATGTAGAAACAGAGTCGTACCGGTCCATGTCTTCTTGAAGGATTCGTAAGGCAGCTGCATGTAGTTTTTCAATCGGGAGTTTTCTAAAATGTCTTCCTTTCTTTCTGCTCAAAAGACTTTGTATCAATTCTTTAACAAGTCTATCATTCACAGTGGGAGAGGAAGGCGAATTGATTCCTGAAGAAGAGCTAAGACTGTCTTCACCCCCTGCAGTATTATTCAGAGGCAGAGTTAATCTTTCTTTCCTTTGAGAAATTGATTGTGCTTTTTCAGCATTATCTTCTGCCTCACACTCCTCTTGTAACAATTTGAATAATCTTGAATGTGTGGCGGCTCTTTGATATCTTGACATTTTGCTAAGCTCGCTACCACATTCAGGATCAGTGTCAGTTTCAGAAATATGTCTACTTAGATCTGAGGTAACACCAGAATCATCTTCACTTTCTTCAAATGATTTAGAATTAATAAGTTCCTTTTTCTTAACCAAGCAATTCTGTTGCCCAGTATTTTCATTAAATACATTGGAATGCTCACTGTCATCATCGCTGCTTGATGATGATGAAGTGCTATCTGAATCTTCTTCTTCTTCCTCGGTTTCGGATTGTTCTTTTTTTACATTCGAACATGCTTTTTCTTCTTCTTCTTCATCTTCTTCACTACTTTCATCAGATTCAGACGTGTCCTCACTACTGACTTCATTTAATGCAGCAGATTTCTCTTTAGGAATATTGTTTATTTCCTCTTGATCATCTAAATTTGCTGCTGCTTCCGCCTCACTAGAGGAATCATTTCCAGAGATACCTTTCTTCACTGTTTGAACACTTGTGCTGCTAGAATCATCTTCCCAATGGAAATCACTTTCATCTTGTTTAGAATCATCTTCAGAGGTTCTAATTTCAACATTTTTAGATACATTGCTCTCTCCATTTAATTCTTTCCAGAAATCCACTGGAGAATCTTCTCTCTGTTTGATCAGATTGTTTGCTTTTGGTTTTTTAAGTATGATAGTTGCAGTGATATCTGGATCACTTTCTTCTTTTATAATATCTGTAATTATCAAACCAGATTCTTCAGTTTCATTGGTTTTGCTGGCCTCCATTTCGCTATTACCTACAATTAATGTAGCAATTTCTTCATCATTTTCTAAACGTGTGAACTTTAATTGCAGTGGAAGGCGCACTTTGACAGCATTCTCATCTTCATCTTTATTTTTCAAAGTAGAACTTGAACTATTGTCACTCTCATAAGGGCTTTTTGCACTACTCTTTCTGCCTTCTTCTGAAGAAAAGTCACTCTCTTCATAAATTACACTCAACTGGTGCGGTAGAGAGTCATCTTCTGTTTCTTCCTCCTCTTCTTCTTCTGATTCAGAATCTTCTGAAGATTCATCAGAATTACAAGCATAAATATTTATATTTGGTACTGAACGGATACTCGGTATAGGATTTTGTGACCTCTCTTCTACTTCTGTATCGGTATCACTTGTATCCTCACCTTCTGTTTCTGTGAGGTCTGCTGGTGTGGAATCACTGGACTCTGGAATAGACTGCATGCTTTTGTTATGAGCTTGTTGCTGCATTTGTTGAGCATGTTCTTTAAATATCTTGCCGTATATTGTCATTTCATCACTTGACGAATTCGAATAGTCCTCTGTATCACTAGGATATGGCATGTAGGGAGGGAGATAAGGGGGGAAAGGATAAGGACTGTATCTCATAGCTGTTGCATTCATGTGAGCCATGTAATTGCACATGGCATTATAGTGCTCCCAGAATTGTTGCTGTTCTTCAGGGGTTTGGGGAGGATTATACCAGTAGTTAGGATAGAGAGGAGGAGTGTTAGTACCCCAACCACTATATTCTCTGCTCACTGGTTCTGTGGCTACAACAAATAACAAAACATCGACTTGTATCCTGAAAATAAACTAATACTATATATTTATCCACCTTATTTTTATCACTTATTAATGTATATTATTTCCTAAAATGTTATTGAATCGAGCAAACAATGAGACCAATATATCCATCATATTCAGGAGTATTATTGTATTATTTTAATGCATTGTCAGGGCATTGTAGTAGTTAATGGGGTTTTGTATACAGCAGCTTTTATTTTCATGCAACAACACCATTAGTTACTTGCACAAATTTTATCTCCTGATTATTCACAGGTAGAAATAAAGTGCTATTTACCTATGCATTTATTTTTTAAATTATATTCATCATAAGATAAGTTACACATTTATTTTAATTTTCAGTTGAAAATTATATTGTTTCAATAGGAATATCTATTTTTTAAATGATTGAATCATAAACATTTTTGCAATTTTGATATGTATAACAATGATTAATTGTTCCAAAATAATAATAATAATAATCATAAACAACATTTTTAAAACATCTTCTATAAAATGTATGACTACTAAAAAATGATCATAAGTTTCAAGATAGTAAATATAATTAAATTAAAATATCAATTAAGTAGTGTGATATATACCTTGTGCCGGGTATACTCTGTTGACTAGTATTACTTCACCTTGGGGTACTTGTTGTAGAGGAGCTGAAATAACATTTTTGTATTTATATTAAGTTGACACAATGGTCGATTCTCTTATTGATATTTAAATAATTCTTGAAGTACTAGGATATATGTATTCCTTTGATAAAAACAATATTAATGATTATTCAATAAACAAACATTATGACTTTATATCTATAGTCTATGGCAATTAAATAATATAAAAATCACAAAAAAAAATATATTAAACTATCAACAAGTTAAAGTCTGATCTCATCTTCAGTATTTTCCACTTATTTTGTATTGAGTTATTATTAATCACTAATTAATGCTCCTTTTTTTTGTCCTATCTATCCATTTCATCCTTTTTAAAGAATAGTTTTTAAATAAAACTTAATTAGAAAGAATATCTTGCAAGTATCCTTTAATTTTGATAATACAATTGACAAGAGGAAAGTGAGGATGGGATCGGACCAGCTTATCAACAGCTTAACAAATTACATTTAACAGCTGGACAAATTAACAGCTTAACTTCACTAATACTGATATCACTAATTAATAATAATCTAATAGTATAATTAAAATAAAAACTAAAGAAAAATCTTTATAAATCAAATTGGAGATCTTTCAAACAAAAAAAAATTAAAAGAAAAAATCAGTAAACAGAATATTTTTAATTTTTGAAAAGAATAAATCAATGGTTAATTCACAGAGATTTTTAGTTTTTAAATAAAAAATATTTAAGATTTTTATCCTGTAATTCCTTATTTATTATACTCTTTGTTACTTTGTATTCATTTATTGGGTTTACTTATTTAATGTTAAATTAAAACATTTGTGCAGACCTAAATTTGACATTTTCAAATAGTGTTCACCCTTTTATTAACTGTTCCTAAGTTAAAATTTATGAAGTTAACCATCCAAATAAGCTTTTCATGTTAAAAACATTTTATTTTTTAAGGTTGAGTGAATTTTTTTAAAGTTACAGAGAAAAAATCTATAACAATTAAAGGAGGAAGTAGGCATACTATTTATGCCTTGTGATTTGTTCTATTTTTAGAACAAATAACTGTATTTTTAATTTTTCAATATATGAACTAGTCAGTTATTAAAAAAAAAATATTAAAAATTGTTTGATTCATGAGATGCTGAAGTGCAGAGTTCATAATTTGATTAAAACTATATCTACTGAACTTTTTTTTTTTTTTGAAAAAGTAAAATTAATTATTGATCAATATAAAAGTGCAAAACTTAAAAAGAGATATAAATTAAATGTTGAGTTATAATTGTCTCTAAAATTTCAGAGATTTAAGACTTAGTGTCTAGTATTTCCCAATAATAACCTGATAAAATATTAATTTTTATCTTGAAATATATTTCAGGAAAATAAATTCAGAGGATCGATTATACTCCTTACCTTGTGGTTCATCATCAGATCCAGTAATCTTTTGTAGTACCCTGAATGATCGTGACTGTGTTGGGTTTCCTGACCAGCTAGTTTGTGTTTGAAATTTGCGTGGGTCTGCTTCACCACTAACATTTAAAACATAGATAAATAATAGAATAAAATGATTATCAGATCTTGCTGTATTTTATACTACCAACATATTAAACATGGTTTGTTTAACTCAAGTTTTAAATTTAATGATAGGTTTGTTTATTCCAGTAATGTATTAATATTACTATAATTTGAAAAATTAACAATAACTTACTTTTGATTTCTATTTTGAATGTTTCCTGGCAGGCTGTTCTGGCTTTGGTAAACTGATTTTTGAGATGTGTGTTGCTGATTATCTTGGCCATTTCCTTCCATCTGAATTGGTATTATTCTAGTCCTTCCTTGCACTTCTTGTTGCACAGGCTGTGATTGTACATACTGCTGTTGTGGAACTGTTTGTCCATATTGTTGAAATTGTGGTGGCACATATTGTTGTGGATATGTGTATTGTTGCTGTGGAGTTGGATATTGGGGATATTGTGGTTGAGTTTGCATGTAAGCGGGAGATGGTTGTTGATGATGTTGAGGTGCAGTGGCATAATCTGGAGGCTGTGACTGAATGTTTCTGGGTGTAGTTTGTACAAATTGTTGCATTGGTGCTGGAGGCGTTGCTGGTTCTCTGCCTTCAATCTGTAAGTTAAGAATACTTCTTTGTTATGCTACTTTATTAAAGAAAAAAATCTTTCAAGTTGGAAACATTTATCCTATAAAACTTAATATAATTCCATAATTTAAAATAATTCAACCCTATTATAATTAGGGAATGATGTAAATCAGAGCCACTATGTGGGTTAGAAGACAGAGATGGCCACCTTAAAATAGAAAAGAGGACTGCCATGGCGTGGAAGGTATCAAGAAATGGATACAAAAATTAAATCCATTGGGCTACAAAAATGATTAAGCCTGATAAGTAAAACAATTATTGAAGTTTTGTTGGTTAAAATATTTTTAATAATTAATGAGAGAAAATAAAAATATTTTTATAATTATTGCTCACTTATATGACACAACGTCAAATAATATGAATTTCAAAAAACAGTTATTTAGGTATGTCTCAGATTTCAAAAATAAATTTTAGTTATAATTGTTTAAATGCATTTGGAAGGATGGGAGAAGAGAGCATGGTAAAACCTCACCCTGGGTCCCTACAACCTTTGCAATGGTCCAATAATATTGCAAATATTAATAAAAATAAAACAAACTTGAAAACATTCAAATATCAACATCAGTAATTACTGACCAGGATTGAACTCCTCATTGTTCTTATAATAAAACAAAGTAATTTAAATAATTGTTATTAGACAATATAGAGATTACATGTTATGAATCTGGGACCAGAGGAAAGGAAACCAGTATCTTACCCATTCCTGTGTTGGAATTATTGTAATAATAAACACAATTATTTTAAAGCAATCACTAATCAAAATAGTTATATGTTAAACAAACCTGAATTGGTATGACTCTGGTCACAGGCTGTTGACCTGGTGTTTGAATAGGCTGTTGTAGTGGTTGCTGAACTTGTGGAGAAGAAAGCTGAGGTTCAATAGATTGCTGTCTCATAGTCCAAGGGGGTTGTACATCCTTTTGTGCCGTTTTGTTTGTCAACCATGGAGCAGGAGATTTATTAAGTGTGGGGGTCGATGGTGTATTAGGTTGTCTCTGAATTGGGGGTGGGGTCGGTGAAGGAGGAGTGACTGATTGAACTGTAGCCACTGGGGGCGTTTTGATTGATTGAACTGGTGGAGTCGGAGGTGTTCTGACTGATTGAAGTGGTGGAGTTTGTGGAGCTCTAATTTGTTGAGCCAGTGGAGTTACTGGTGGCTTTACAGGTTGAACCAATGGTGATCTCACTTGATTCTGGATTGGAGGAGATACACCTTGGCTTGAAATAGAAAGGTTTTGGATCGGTATCTCTACCTGAGGCCTCGGAACGAAAGGGAGCTGTCCAATTGGCGCTGAGTCATTTTGATCCACAGAAGCTTTAGGAGAGACAGGTTTGAGCTGAACTTGAATAGTCGAAGGCTGTGGTTCGTATGAAGAACGAGGTGCCTGTCCTACTGGTCTTAATGGAGGATGGCTAGCAATATCAGCCAAGAATTCTGGGGGCTGAGCATCATAAGAAGACCGCGGTGCTTGTCCAACAGGACGTAGCGGTGGATGACTGGCGATATCGGCGAGGAATTCGGGTCTCGGTGGAAAGTCGAGCGGCTTGTTGGAAGGAGAAGTCGGGGGCGGGAGGGTGGGTGCCGGTGGAGCAGAAGAGGGTGGACAGGGCCCGGATGGAGGCGGTGGGGGTGGGGGAGGTGGTGGCGGCGACTGAGGTAGCACTGCCACCGCGATCTGGGGCTGCATCGCTGCGATGGCAGCAGGCGGCAATGGCTGTCCGCTGTTCGGAGGTTGTTGCTGTACTGGTGCCGTGCAGCTGCAACACAGAAAATATGGCCTTTATTTTTTCAAATACAAAAAGTATACGAATAATAAAACAGCTCTAAAGAATCCCTACATCATTGAATGAATAATTATATGATTTCATGTCTCATTTACAATTTTTTTTTCTATTCATAGCCATTTCTCTAATTATAACTTTAGTCTTAATTATAAGAATGAGATACCTCTTACTCTGATTACTGACTTCAATTGTATAAATTATAATATACTTAATTACTTTATAATTAGCGTTGTAAATGAAGTACCTTGTAATTAAAGGACATGAAAAGAGCTTATAATTACTTAACTTATATTTTGTAGTATTCTTTTTTTTTTTATAACGAAATACCGTCTTACTTATGACAATTATAATTTCTTAGAAATGGATTGTATAATAGATGAATAGTAGATAAGATGGGATAATACAGTATAGTTATTACCACAGGCGGATCTAGGGGGGGGCCTTTTGGGCTGAAGCCTCCCCCAAAATGGTAAAATATAACCATGTTTTACAGAAAAAAATATTAAAAACTATCTCTTAAAGTATTCTTGTTCATGTAATTACATTTAATAGGACTTCAGGAACCTTAAACACCATTTCATATTGGTAGTTAATTTCTTTCTTTCTTTTTCAAATTAATTATAGTTATATGTATATGAAAAAAAAAATCTTTCGGGCTGAAGCCTCCCCCTCCTCCCCAAATTAAATCCTGGATCCGCTAGCGGCTATTACTTCATAATTGAAGTTGTTTATCTCTTTAATGTTGTTCTATGTATGCAATTTTTATGTAGGTTAACCTTTAAATGTTTTTGTGAATTTCGACCTTACGGAAACAAAAACACCGCAAGTGCATTAAAATAAGTGCAGATTTCTCAGAGGAAAAATTTATCAATTTTATAAAGTTTTACTTAGTAGCTTTTTCCCACAAAAGCACGATATAGAACGATGGTACTTTTAAAAAATAGTTTAGAGATCTAGATTTATTTCTTGGGCCATTAATAGAATTAAAGTTAAACCTTACATGACGCATTCGAACCAGGATTGTTTATGGCTCAAGATTTCGACACTTGACTACTAAATTTTGTTTTAGAGCAGTACTAAAGTAATAATAAGAAGTAAAAATTGATTATAAATATCAAATAATGAGGAAATTACCTCTGTTCAAATTCATCTAAATGTGAAACATTCTATTGAGAAATGTCTTTTGCTACTGGATATATCTACGGTTTCCCTTAACGAGGTGAAGCGTTATTAGCGCAACTACAGTCCCTTTAAGAGGGTGTTGGATACAAAGATGTTTCCAGTTCCTAGATCTGGGATCTCGTTATGGTCGGTTACACAAAGTGACAGCTATGGGCGCTTAAGCACGCAATTAGTAGAAACAGTTACGTGCAGTGACGCCTCTGATGGTGACACCATCATGCTGAGCGTTCTAATTCATCTAATAATGGTCATAGTAATGATAATGAATTCTGTCAGAACTTCAGGTTTATGTCGATAACTTCAAACATATCTTCCTACATATATTCCGCGGAACACCGTCGAAATCCAAAATTACCTGACGATTCCATCAAAATCCACCTATCTAGAACTTAGCTAAACCCTCAGGCATTTACTATGGATGCACAGAAGGTGGTTTTATGGCGCCAAGTTGTGCCATCAAAATTAATGAGGGGGGTGGTGCACTTTTTGACGGGGTTTTCAATTTTTGAAAGGGGAACATTTCGATGGTGTTATGTCAAAATGAAAAGTTTCAAATCAAAAGACGAGTGGAATCATGAAACAGACCACAGGATGTGTAATAGTATGTAATATACCAATATTCAAATTATACTTTCGTTTGCACTGTTCATAAAGAAGAGAGGAATAAAATATCTTGGGAGGAATGGTAAAGGGTATGTTAACCTGATAAGATTGATCCATAGAAATAATTTTAGTGACTTTTTCACAAAACAAAAACAAAAAAACAGGAATTGAGTTTTTTTATTGAAGAGCACAAAAACCGATTATTTCTTTTATGGTTTATTAATATAATTTCATATTTTATTTTTTTCTGCTATTTTCCTATTTAGATGACTACTCATAGCAGTTGCAGACTACAAAATGTCACTTACAGTACAAATAGAAAATTATTGTTTCTATTAAAAAATTATTGGATTATTTTTTTATAATACTGTAAAATAATAGAAAAAAATTTATTTATTTTATTTTACTAATATTATTTTTTTTAATGAGTGACCTAAAATATTTACTGCTTAGCAGGGCCGAAAAAGACAGTAAGTGGACAAAGCTGCTGCCGTGGGTCTCTACTAGTTGTGCTTTTGTTGAAGGCCAAGTAATTTTGAGTTGCTCATTGATTTATAGTTAGTCCATTAATCAAATATATGAATAAAAAAAAAAAAAAAAAATTACACAAATAATTTTGATTAATTTAAAAAAATAAAACGGTGCGTCTGATGTTTTAATATTTTTCAGTAAGCTAAAAAAAGAAATTGAATTATTTAAAAAATAAAATTGTGTAACATTGTCATTTTACTCTTTTTCATTAATCTAAGAAAAATGTTTTCACCATATAATTTTTATTGCAAGTGTTTTGATGAACTACATAATGTGTATGTCTCTTTTGAAAAATAGCTATTCTTTTTATGTAACAGATGTATTTGCATTTTTTCATATACGTTTGTGAGAATTAAATATAAATTCTTATATCTTTCATAAATTATTAAATAATTCTTAAATACTAAAAATTATAAACCCTAAGTTGTGGATTGATGATTGACTGTAGTAAATAATTGAAGAGAAGATTGGTTGGGTTGTTCAGTAAAAAAAAATGCAAGAATAAATTAATTATATATATTTTTATTTTTGCCAACGTTTCGGCACAAAGTTCAGGCCTTCATCAGGGCAAAGAAAAAAAAGCAGATAACAATAAGTATGAGAAACTATTAACATTCTTTTCTTTTCAATGTTAATAGCTTCTCATACTTATTGTTATCTGTTTTTTTCTTAGCCGTGATGAAGGCCTGAACTTTGGGCTGAAATATCGGCAGAAATAAGAATAAATATAATTTATTTAAGACTGAACACCCGAAACGATCTTCTCTTCAATTATAAATCCTAAGATTCCATCTCATATTGCATGTATGTAAATATTGGATTTCATTTTTCATTTTCTGTATATATTATAGACATCATTTATTAGCCGAATACTATGTAAAGCCCAATAGTGGTTTACAATTTTATTTTATTTTGTTTCTAAATTTAAGATATTGAAATTTAAATAATAACCTCTATTTTCTATGTATTTTTTTTGTTTTTTATGTTATGTTTTTAATTTATTCTCTTTATTTCTTCAAATATTTATAATATGTTATTTTTCCCCATATCTTGTTTTGGTTTTTAGATTAAACATTATTTTTTTAATTTGCCATCATTAATATTAATTTTATTTCGATTAAACATTATTAATAAAGAAAAATGGTAAATTAAAGTTTGTTATCATATGATATGCTTTTTGCATGGAAAAATTTATTGCATAAAAGGAAAAATTATTCTATAAAGTTACTTAATCAATAGAAATACTATAATTTCCTTATTAATATACAATTATTAATATATGAAATTATACTATACTATTATTATATTTAACTATAATTATCAAAATATATTGAATAATTTGAGACTTAATCATTTAATATTTTATAACAGTTTCGTATATATATTTTTTGGGTCTGACATAATTCATTGCTTTATTTTGGTTCCTGTTTAAAATAATTATAGTGTGTCTACCTTACTCTGGTTGTTAGGGCTCATAATAAATAAGGCTTAAAATAATTTTCAAAGTAAATGTAAAGCAATTATATTTGCATAGAAGACAAACATTATCTCCATATTTCCTATTCTAATAAATGTAATGGAAAAGGTTCAACAAGAACTGTTGTAAAGCTATCTTTTTATACCTGGTTTCTTAAAAAATATTAATTTATTTTCGATTGAATACGGATGGGAATAAGAGTAAAAATAAATACAATTATTTATTTTGACTATTTTACTTTGACTGATCATCCTTCTCTTCAATTATTCACTACAGTCAACCACCAACCCACAATAATTGAATCGGCAATTGTAAACTTCCTTTAAAAAAAATATTTGTATTGAAAACTCATAAATAGGTATTCTGTAAATTTTTGTCATTTAAAATGTATTTCTTTATACAATACCTTGTCATTTAGTGAGTAGTTTAACATATACTGAGCATCCATTGTGGTGTTTAACAATAAACTTTCTAATCCTATTATGGTTTAAAAAAAATGTTGCAATAGTTAATTATTTTCTATACAACTTCTATACGCTATTTATACCACTTTTGACAGTTAATTATTACAGTTTGAAAATAAATTATATATAACTATAATTAATAATAATTAAAAATTAAATGTAAGGAATTTATAATGATTTTTTTAATATCGATTTTTACCAACACCTTCACCTTGAATTGTTTCTAAAAATCTGATGTGTTAGTGTGATCAACAACAAGAATTCTACTTTAAATACACATGCAGTAAATAATATTCATTGACACTTGAAATTTATATTAATAATATAAATATGATTAATCAAAACACCATCCCAAACATAAGTTAAAATTATACAATAATTGCAAGATTAAACTTTACTAGTCATCATTTGTAAAGTATTTAAGGCACTTTGATTAGTATAGATCATTAGTTTGCATTTGGTTAATCTAATAATAGCTATACATTCAAGTCTAATTAATGTCCACTTATAAAAAATAAATGTCTCAGAAAACACAGATTCCTAAAGTAAGTATTGTATGTACTCGAGAGAATAAACGATAAAAAAGAATTTAGTAGCTTATAATTTTGTACTATTTTTATTAAATAGTTTTGACCTCTTTATTTATTAATGTATAACTTAATATGTTAAAGATTGTTTTTAGTATAAAGTAATTAGTTAATACAAATGTAAATTATTTTTTTTTTATTTTAGAATAATCCAACCATATTAATAGAAATTATTCTTAATTACATTATCTCAAGAATCTCAGAAATCTTTTTTTACATGTCTTGAAAATTCATCATTTCTATTATGCATTTTATTTTTAAAGCTAGTAAAATTATATCTTATAAACATAATGCCAAATAGAATAAATAAGTTATAGTTTTTGTATCTTTGTCAAGAGCTAATTGTTTGATTCTGATTAGTGTTTATTATTATGATGTTACATTATAGTCATACATTACTTTATTATTATGATGTTACATTATATTATTCTGCGTCATTGGAAATATAATGCAATTTTCAACATTTAAAGATGAATTTAGTTTAGATAATTTGATGAATCTATTTATAAAATAATAATCTCACACCTAGTAATAATACATAAACTATATATATATTTAGAAAAAAAGAAGAAAATTATTACATTAAGGGATGGAATGACAATCCTTTTTCACTTGATCCATCTGGATCCTTTGTGTATATTCTCTGTTCTATTGAGAGGCCTTAGAGAAGTTTTTTAGGATCCTGGCGATAGACATGAGATCTACAGAATTTATCCTGGCAGTAACATCAGGTTTAGAGACTGTCTTTAGTGTTGCATTTAAAGAGATTAAGTTTAACCTTTTCCTTATTCTCTTAACAATTATGAGTCATCAACAATCATTTTCTTGAAATAATATTTTAATAGGCTATTAGCAGCAAATAGAACATTTATTGTTTATATGCATCTATAAATATTATCAAGGAAGCTGCCGCTAAGAGTTGTTATTAAGCATAAATGGGATCTAGAGGATATCAAAACAAAAACAACTTCTAAGATACAAAAAAACGTTTATTATTACAAATATATAAAACAAAATAGATAACCGCATTTATTTACAAACATTTAATGTGTTGAGACAGATATAGGTGAGACAACAAATACATTAGTAACACATGCACAAACGGAGAGGCAGGCTGTCCTCAGTCATACCTATCTTCGGTGTGAGCATTTCTTGAGATCCTTCGCGCCATCCTTGGGCTGCGGATCTCGTTCAGGTTCAAGCCACCTGGAGTATAGGTGAATGGCTTCTTGTCTTTGGTCATCATGGCATTCTGGATAGCTGCAGGAGGCTCATATGCCTTCTTGGCTCCAATCTGAAACAATTTTTTTAGATTTAATATTCATACATATAAGTTTATATTATAAACTAAAATATATATTACACTATATCATTAGATAGTAAAATATACTGAACTTAAAAAAATTACACTTAGGACTACTTATTTATTTAAATATTCTAAGATTAGAATTTTATAAATATGGTTGTCATGATCCATTTATTTAAGAAACTAATTATTCACAGAGGAAGCATTCATTAAATAGACAAGTAAAGATAAATAGCTGCTACAAACATGTTTACAGAAATAGTAATATAAAAATCAAAGTATGTAGAGAAATGTTACATTAAAGAGACCAAGAACCTAGGACAAATAAATTATTTTCATATTAACTGAGATAAAGTATTCCAATTTTTTAAATATTTATTTATTTTAATTACAGTTTTGGTGTTATATTATCATAAGGCAAAGGATTTTTTTTTTTTTCAAAACCATTTAAATTTTATTAAACTGTTTTGGAAATAATTCTGCCTCATAATGGGCTAGTACCAAAATTGTTACTTGAAAGAAATTATTTTAAGTAAAATTTTAAAATGAAGTTGACTGTTGTAGGGATTATATATCTCTCAATTATGTTTAAAATAACAAATCAGCCAGTGAAAAATTAATTAAGTCATACATTGAAAATAATTATATAAAAAATAACCATATGTAAATACATTCATAACAGATTTGTTTATTATAATTATTAATTAAACGAAAAAAATAAATACCTTCTCAACTATTTTCACGCATCAATTTTCAATATATTTTTCTCCCCATATTTTATCATTTTAAGCCTATTTCATTAAATCATAGACATTAAAAACTTTTTATGATGAAGTATAAAATTTTGAATAAAATATTTTATTTATTCAGTATTAACTTGTAGATATTATCTCCTAATGATCAATTTAAAATAGTTTTAAAGTTGAATGTTTTTTAAAATTAATTTTTAGAAATTTTTGGCAAAAATGAAATATTGATTAAGAAAATTTTAATTAATGACAATAAATCAATGGCAAATTTTAAATTAAAAAAAGTCCAAAGATTCTCGTTACGTTAGTGAAGACAATATTGATGGTTTTTTTTAATGTTGTGATTTTTTTTTAGATAGTTATCTGCTTCTTTTGATTTTTTTCCGAAATTGTGAATTTTAAAAATTCTAGCGTTGTTGAGCATCTCACGGGATAAAAAACTCTCGTATGTCGTCTCTTTTATGTATTAGGTATTTTCATTATTCCTAAATATGAATTTCATGAACATTGCTACGACAACTTATTTTAAAAACACAAGAAGATAATAAAAAGTCTATTTTCTTTAGAAATAAAAGAAATTTGGTTCATCCAGATACGCCATTTTATTTTCTTGAACGTAGTCCAAAACGTTTAAGTCTGTTTATTATTTACATTATCTCCCAGTATTTACAAAACAGAAGAATTACTCCCAATACAAACATGATGTTATCAGTTTGTAAGCAAAACTATTTTGGAACTAGAGTACTTGAAAAAATAGAACAAGAACACATTGAACTTCGACGTATTTATTGAAAAAATATTAAACCTGAGAAACTTATTTAAAACACGTTTCTGTATTCATAATAATAATGAAATGCTTAGTGTACCAGAAGAATCGACTGTCACAAATTGCGGTCTACGTACTTTTGTCCAACTAGTACAAGTTACACGTTTTGGAGCTATGTAGCCGTCTAAATTTCCTGGTTAGTCGACAAGGTTAGTCGACAGGTTCTTAAATTCAGCGTTGAGCTCATCGATAGCATCGTAAATCCATCAGTCTGTTCCTAAACTCATCGATGAACACCATCGATGGAATTCAGCTCGTTACTTTAATCATTCTGATATCTCAGTGATTCCATCGGCTTTTGGAACCGATGGGTCTGCGGGATATAACCACAGTCTTGTTATTTCTCAATTTATTTTACTATATTTATATTCAGTTTACTTTCTATCAATATTTAATTTTGTTTTTAAATCAAAAAATCAATAGGAAGGTATTTCCTTCTCTTTTCATGATAAACCTTACAGGAATTTTAGCCTTCCGCCGGAATCAAGCAAGTCGTTCCTAAATTCTGCATTAATTGCTGTCCATCGGTGATCGCGGTTCATTCAGCCGATTGATGGATTCTATCTTTACAATTAGTGCTGAGCTTAGAAACTTTTCAATACTGATGAACAACAACCTTGTACTTTATTATTCTCTGGAATATGTGATGAACTATTGAACGGGTCCGTCATCTATATCCACAATATGTATTTATTAAATGCAAACGAAATCTACAACTTTGTTTCATCACTTAGTATTCAAAGAACATAAGATAAATAATTAGTAAAGTTGAATAAATATTGGTAAGATCTAGTTATGCTTTTGATCCTTATAGTAAAGTATTCAGTCACGACTGAAACGTTTGAAAATATAGTTTCAAGTTTCAAGGATAATTTAAACAATTCATTAATACGAGTTGCAAACTTGTTTCCGGTGTCACCTGGTGCAAAAGCGGATGCGATTGCTAATGAAGCACGAACCCCCGTATTGATTCCCCTTTCGCACATTTCCTGTCCGTGAGTGTACTTCCGCTTCGTGCGAACTAACTTGTTTGACCAAGGTAGTAATTATATCATTGTAGTTCGTTATAGTCATGGCAACGTCCTCGAACTTGAATGAAGTAGAAAAAAATTAAGCGTTCATCCAATTGAGAGAAAAAAAAAATTTTTCTCTCTAGCTCTGACTGCCGCGAAAAACTCTCTTTCAAGTACACATTTATTTAATAACTCATAGAATTTATCTATAATAAAACTCTCGCCCATTATATAAGTTGCTGTGCTTTAGTTCACGTATTTCAGTTAGGTAGGGCGCTACGTAAGTTCTACTCTTTCTTACCATAACAATGTTTGTCTTGCAGAAACCTTCGTTTGACCAGGTCTGTCTATCTTTCTATCTTATTTTTCTCCTTTTTTCCGTTACTCCCTAATCCATATCTCCACCTCCATTTTGTGAATATTGATACATTTGTTCATTTATCTTATTTGTATTATTTTAATTTTTTATTCTCTTATACGTAGTCAGTATGTTTTGATAGATTTTACAGTATCTCAATTTTCTTATTTCCTTACATAACTTCATATTCCTTTTCTCTGTTTTACATTTTATTCTATGATTATCTCACTCCCTTTTAGCATACTGTTACATCATATTTTAGCAACTATGTCACCGCTTTATTTATTTTTTATCTCATACATTCCACTACTTTTCGTTGTTAATCCATTTTTCATTTCTTATGTTACCTTATTTTGATTATGTTAATTTCATTAGTCCCTGCTTTGTTGTCGTTATTATTTATTTCGTAGTTTTCTGTTACTTTAAGTTCACTCTACCTACTTTATTTTACTTTAAGTTCACTCTACCTACTTTATTTTACTTTAAGTTCACTCTACCTACTTTATTTTGCGGCGAAAAACGATGACTACCAGTGATTGAAGATCGTAATTCACATAAGAAAGTGTTTTCTCTTTCAGTTACAAAACTAAAAAAATTTCAGCCAAGTAGTGTCGGTATAACTTCCTCACCATTTCTGTTGCCTGTATTCTAAGGCCAATGATTTTTAGATTGAGAATAAAACCAATAGAAGAAGTCGATGTTGGATGTGCAGAATTGTCAAGGAAAACGCACATTGAAGTGAAAGAAAAAATAAAACAGAATTTAATGAAGTCAAAATTGCACCATCTAGGTATCGAATCAAATTAATGATATTAAGTGTTCGTCACATAGTTGGAGAAAATTTTTCATATAATTCCATGTATATATAGTATTTCTAAGATATATTCAACTCTTTCCAAATTAAATTATATTTTTTCCTAATCAAATACAGTTTTTTTTTTCTAATTAAAATTCAATATTTACCAAGATAAATTCAACTTGTCCCAAGACATATTAAGTCGACTTAATTTTTTGGTATTTTTTTTTCGATAAAAGTCTGTTATTTTTTATACAGTTAAATTCCGAAAAGTTAAAATAGGTATAGGTATCAACTATTAAAATCCTTTTAATATTTCATCAAATCGAATTAACGGCGGTAAGTGTTCGTCATTAATTTTAATTTTTAAATGGAACTCAATAAAAATGTTACTAGATCATTTGTAGACTATTACCTATATTTTCTCCAACTTTTGGACAAGTAGAGTCTGCCGTTATTGAAATTTTGAAACTGCGTTTCAGTTGCGAAAGTATTTTTTGAGTAATAGTAGATAAATATTGATAAAGTGGAAACCTACTAAATTATTTATTTACACAAACTCTAACTTGACTTCTATTTTGGGCGCAATCGAACGCACGGCTTTTGAGAGACTGGCGTATCAAGAAGTATTAAATGAAATTCGATACAATTGATACACCATTTTTTTTTTGAGCCAAATTGAACGTGTCAATATTAAAAAATAGACGTGTCTTATGAAAGAAAATACTTTTATTATAGAAAATAGAGAATGGGATTTGATAAAATTGTTAAGGGATAGCTTGGTAGTAATTCGCACTGTCCCTAAAATATCATAAAAGTCGGTTAACGGTAATAACTGAAATATACTTCAAATGGGATATCCCGCCGATCACTGATCAATGACACTGTTCAAAAGTTAAATTATTTGTAATCAGCCATTACTTATAATGGTGAGGACATCGTACCTCCTTTACTTGGCAAACGTTTTTTATCAGCTCAAATGTATTTTAATATCATTCCTATTATTAGATGCAGATGTTAGTGAAGGGGATGGACTCATCGATGTATTAATCTTTTTATTTTATTTTTCAAAACGCTGGGATCACGAAATTAATTTTCCAAGTACTACATTGTAGAGTACTGTATTGTTGAGTCATTATTTTCGGAATCAACAAATGCTTCACTCTCATCTAGAGCCGAACATTTGCCGAACTATGAAGAAGTCATGTATTCTCGATGGCATAAGGAACATCTTCAACATCACACAACTCAAATTTTTCTCGAGACAGCCGTCCCGGAAACAAGTGATTTACAAAGCAATGTCAGGGATATGTAATCTTCCTGACTTACGATGGGTTAGCTTTTAGCAAGTAATGTAAATTGTAGTTTTTAAATTGATTTTTAAAAGCAGAATCAAACTGCTTAGTTAAAACAAAATTTTCTAAAAAAAAAGGTTGAAAATAAACCGAATTTTCGGCCTCTTCTTAAGAAGGACATATCTTCGCCGGCGATCTCCAGGCTGCTGCAAGGTCGGAACAGGACAAATAGTACCTGAATACCGTCCGATGATGCAAGAGGACCGAAACGGCAGATACGGCCTTCAGGAGCTGATGGTAAACAACGGTGACTCAGTGCTAGTTATGCTAAAGCAATGCTAATGTACTCAACAGTCCTGCGTGCGGTACTCCTCTTAGTCAACTAGTGTATTCATACCTTCTTGGTAATTGCCTTGTTTGCACCTATCATCAAATAGTAGGTATTGAGTCGGTCAATATGTATAGATTTGCAACTCATTATGGACAAAAGGTCTTTTATGTACAGCAATCGCATTAATTGCATTACACAATACGACAATCGCTTGTTCACTAAAACAACGTTTATATTGTTACACTAAAAATACTCATGGAAACTGTACTCTACATCATCAAAGAGGAAGATTTACCTCAGCTAGTAAGTAAGGATAACTACCCGTACTACGAAGCTGTCGTATACGGGTGAAAGGAATTATTGAGGATGGATCATTTCAATCTCCTTTAGCGAGGAAGAGTCAAGAATCAGAGATTAAGTGGTAGAAGTGTCACATTACTTCTACCAAAAATCTGTGGACAAGGCAAGATGGAAATAAATGAATAATGAAAATTGGTAAAAAAATTCGTTTTCGGATACCTTATTTATTTATATTTTCTTTATAATTCAATTGAATGAATTTTGTCAATAGTGATTTAGATAATAGTGATTTTCTCAATCATGGAATCAAAATAGATCAATTAAAATAAAATCAATCTCTTTTAAATGTGTATTTGTTGCAAGGAATAGGTTAGGACAGCTTAAGGTAGAAGTCTCAAAACGTTTTGACCCACAGTCCACATCGAGACCTACACCAAGTCCCGCGGGCCACGTTAAAACCGCTTGAAGTGAAACGAGCTTTTTAAGAGAAACAAATCATGCGCTAAATGTTTTAGTAACCTCATGTTTACTAAATTTATATTTTTTAAAATAGTTTTTCAAATGTTACCAAGTAATCAAAAATACTTTTGTGGACCATAGTTTGGAGACCCCGAGCTTCAGGGTTAAAATGCTGGAATCGTTTCTCCAGGGCTTGGGTATGAGTCCTATAGTTGTAAATAATTTACTTTGTATCAACTGTGATTCGACTATGGATTGGAGGAGACCTTTCTAGGGCTCACTGATCTTTTATATAGTACGCACTTCTACACTAATCTTAGTACATTAAATATTATGCATGATGACTAAATATTCCTTGGCAAGAAACATTTCGACTCAACATCTATGAATTTGCGATAAATTATTTACTTGTATACATCAATTTCAAACAGCTAAAGATTATGAATCATAAAGCCGAGGAATAATTTACGCCCCGCAGTATATTTACGAAAAAGTTTTATTTTTTTTCCAACAAGCCCAGAGGACCATAGACATATCAACAAGCATCTCACAAATGTGATCTTATTATTTAAAAGAGCGTTTTAGCTTGATATGTTTTATTGTTGATGCTTTATAGGACTAGCATTATGAAAAGGAAGAAAAAAAAGAAAGGAAAGATATGTATATAAATATAAAATTGTAATGTAATAGTTATATGGACTGATAAGTATGCTGTATATGAAGCAACACTATGAAGTAGGGCAGCATTACTTTTAATAAAATATTTCTCTCTTCTTTCTGTCTGAATATTATTTACTCTTACAATAACATTAGATTATTAGTAGAAAAAAGGACTTTTTAGTCTCAATAATTAAAATACTTTATTTTACATTTATCCAAATTGTCGCCTCTTCAGGTACAACAATTAATAACATAAAAAATGTATATTAACCAATCAATAATATGAATATAAAATCTAAACTTACTCGCTTATAGCAGTGCGCCATCTTGCACACCCAGTCATAGCACAGAACAGAATGAGACCAAATCCTTCGAGGAAGGATAATGCCTTTTTTCTACTGATACTTAATAAAGTGTCTTTTCCATGATAATCTTTTATTAGATTTATTAGATATCTTTTGTCATTGTAATAGTAATTGAGAGTTCCAAGAAACAGGGTATATTTAAATACGACTCATAGATTTCTACAATTAAAACTGATCATGAATGAATATTTCACAATGAGGAATAGAAGGTCATCGCTACAATAACTAATACTCGAGCCTCACATCATATCAAATGATGAATCATATACTATCGCATTAATGAATCGAACCCATTGAATCAGCAGTCGATAATAAGATAATATTGATATAATTTCTATTAATAGAAAAACTGCAACTTTTAATCACTGGCATGCCATTGATTAAAAATATCCATGTCAGTGTGACAAATATATCCGCATATCTTAATGTGGATGTGTAGATATTTTGTTCAAAATAATTACTGTATTTTTTTACGTTCTATCCGCAGAGAAGAGGTTGTCTTAAAACAGACTGAGAATAGGCCATACCAATCTTACTTATACATATCTCATTAGTAAACAGTCACCATATATATATATATATATATATATATATATAAAGAGCTTACCTCTGAAGCGATGCGGACAGAAGGAATTCCTCCAACAACTGGTGGAGGCGGTGGTGGTGGTGGGCCGTTGGCTGAAACAAAATTATAATATATGTTTAATTTCATGACATATAATTAAATTATTTACAAAGAAATATATACATAAAGTCTCAGCTGTTCCATCGGTTTTTGGGTTCGATGGATCCGCTGAACGTAACCTCATTATAACACGTCATTTCTCAATTTAGTTTATATATGTTTATTCCATATACTTTCTATCTGTATTTATTTCTATCATTAAATTCAATAATTAAGAATTTCTTTTTTTTTATATATTTCATGTGTTTCGTAGACGAGGTCATTCATTAAACGCAGCATAAATCACTGTTCGTCAGTAAAGGAATCTATCAATCAGCGACGAGTTTGGGAAATTTTCGAGGCAAATATCCTATTTATTAAAAAAAATAGTAATTCCATAATTTGCGAGGAAACCAATTTGTAAAGATTTTTCGCAGACAAGACAGGACTTAAATTCAAGATATTAACAAATATTTAATAGAATACAAATTATAATATTTTTTTGTGAGTAGTCACATTTTTTTTTAATGTTTATTTTTAACAGTAAGTGCCTTCTGTCGCCATACATACAAATGACAAATTATTTTAATAAAAGCCTCGATTTGAGTAAATCAAAGTTACTTGGTCCAGATAATGTTTTAAGGAAAAGAAAATATTAACGAGAAAGGAGATATGGTATAGAAGAATATGAAAGTTGACGCGAATGTTAAAAATAACTCGAGAAATGAGTAATTGATAGTGAGAAACATTATAACAACGTCAAATTTAAATAGTGTTCCTTTTACGTTTGGAAATAGCGCATTCAGTGAGGGTAGAGGATAAAAAGAAGATAACATTTTTTTTTAATTTGTCAATCTTTGTTTCTATGAGTGACTAATACTTTAACAATCACATGTTTTCTTGTTTAATTAAAACGCTTCTACTTTTCAGCAACTTAATGTAAAACCCCTTGTCAAGAAATTATAAAATATTAATCCCTAAAAGCATTATTGTTTCAGTAATTATCGTTTCCCCCCCTATAAAAAAAAATCCGAATTACTGACATTTTTATTTATTTATTAGATATACATATTTCTGGCACACAATAAATTTGCCATCTACATCGGTATTCAACAAATATGATATCAAGGACAAGAAATGATAGCATAAGAAAAAAATAAATAATAGTAATAACAAAACAAAAAGAGAAAAAAAAAAAAACGAAAAAAAAAAGAACAGTAGTAAAATAACACATACAGATTAACAGATTACACCAAAAAAAAAAAGAAAAAAATTAAAAAGAAAGATAGTAATTGCAGCAAGTAGCTCAATGCAATAAGTCTCTTGGCCAGCGCCTCAGCACTCTTCTGGGCGGATTATATGGGTTTGTGGCAGTAGATAGAGCTTGAGTAAGTGGATTGGAATTTAGAGTCAGTCTGTCATGAAAATTATTAAAGCGGTCAGTGGCAATTGCCGTGATGAAAGGAGTGTTAAGGTCAGTGTGTAACGTGAGGTTTGAAACATATTAATTACTGACATAAAAAAAAAATTGCTTTTTAATTCAAGAATCTTCAAGAATTTACGTTTCTTTGACCTCTTGTGTTTTTTAAAATTTTATTTCATGGTCGAAACTGGCAAGAGTACAGGTCTGTGCCCGTGGCGGCATAATTTAGAGAACGACAAATTTTGAACGAAATTTTATTCGTATGTTGTATAACAAATATTTGCTAATGTTTTTTTTTATTAATAATGATAATATGATAATATTATGAGATATGTTATTAATTTGGAAATATATTACCCTAAAGAGTGTTATAATTTTTTTAACTATGTTTGGGGACGAAAGTGAAATTCAAGTTCCCTCTATTTCAAAAATATTTTCTAGAAGAATTTTCACAAGCTCACAGCCATTAAGTTTCTTGAAAAAATTATATATCAATTATATATTATTTAAAAATAATTATTAGACAGCGTGTTTCAGGGTTAATTGGCCACTGCAAAAATGAACTTAGGACCTGAAAACAAGAAAAAAAAATTCTCCTTAAGGTAGGTTCGCAAACGCTTTGTTTAGGAGATATTCACACCTAAAGATTTTCGTTGTTATGAATTATTTACGTTATATGAAATAAATAAAATCTATTTATTTGTTCTGACTACGTTATTAATTAAATGTAAACATTAACATTCTTATTAAATGTTGTTCAAAGTGATTTCCTTGAGCATTAAGACAAGTTCGGCATCTTTCTTCAACAACAGCAGTGGCAGAATGGCACTGAATATGTTATTTTTTTACAAGATTCAATTATCCTTCTTCGTAAGGAATTAAGATCATTGACCGGACTTGCTCAATCATATCTCATATCCCAATCAATGGATTGGCCGTGCAAGACCAGTGGTTTGGCCTGCTCGCTTTCCAGACCTGACATCACTGGATTTTTTTGTTTGGGGTGACAATAAACAAAAAGGCTATGCAAGTCCGACCAATGAACTTAATTCCTTACGAAGAAGGATAATCTTGTGAAACAATAACACATATCCAGTGCCGTTTTGCCACTGCTGCTGTTGAAGAAAGATGCTGAGCTTGTGTTAATCCGCAATGAAAAATCCCGAATAATGCCCAAGAACAATGGCCCACAATTCGGCTGGTACGAGTGTGATTTGGGTTAAGGGAACGCGAAATCCAAAATAACTTGGGACACCCCAGTTGTCATAATACACAG